TCAGTTCTGGGCGTCTTCATTTCTAAGGAAAAAATAGCTTGGGGTAAATACTAAAAGGAAATTGGGGCAAATTGAAAACTACACCAAGGTTGCTATAGACATGATCATGACAAGCTTAGTAAAATCACTAGCCCGTTAAAATTTGCCTTATCACTCATCTACACACAGCTTAGCTGAGTACTTGTGTTATTTAATCTTGACAAACAGGATCACTCACCAAAAAGAAGCCCATTAGCAAGGGCCGGCCACGTGGCAGGAAAACCCACCAAGCCGCGACATTCCCAGAAAGTCAAGCTCATGTACCAGTAAGAAAACTTAACACTGTTTAGTATCTTTTCGTTGAACAAGTAGTACTTTATACTATCATGAAAGGTTACAATGCAGGGGTCATTTCATACATTTAAGGTGGCTGAGAAATATTGAGATTGCAGGGATATTTGATGATTTATCAGGATGGTAGGGTTGCCATTACATGTAATAGGTCAGATGCCACAATTCTCAAATTACTTGGATTAAAAAGTAGATTCTTCATTTTCACTCCACAAACATTTTATTGTTTCTTTAATAGGGTGAGTTATGGGTGTAATGACGATAAATTAATGTGATCCATTGGTTTTTGAGTGACTTTTTTCTTTGTAGAAAGCAATCCCCTCAATCCCTGGTGTACTGCAAGTGAGGAATATTTCTAAAGAAGAATTAGCCAGAATGGATCCTGAAGAAAGGAAAAAACCATATGCATGTGAAAGTAAGTGCAAGGAGCATGCTTATTTCTTATCACTTTTTAAAACTAAAAATACTCTGTACAGAGCGTATACATGTACAAATACAAGTATTGCTTAGGAGTCAATGGAATTCCACCTTTTATGAAACCTTAGTCATTCAATCTACTTGTATTTGCAAATAAAAGGGCTGATTGGAATACTGTGGATTCTGATCCATTATGAAATTCTCCCTATATTATAATAATATTACAATCATATACAAAGAAAAGTGAAAGGAGAATCTAGATTTTAGTTATTTATCAAAAGTCTCTTTAGGCTTTACTTAAGGCACCCCTTCAGATTGCCTTTCAGAGATCTCATGATATTGTCAGCAAATTTGATCTTTTATTATTAAATTGATGACCATGAATATGATCATCACATGAGACCATAAAGTGGAAGTAAAGTGAATGCAAGAAAAAATGAATAAAGAAAAATAATGATGATGGTAATGATATTATTACCATTAGGGGTTTTACAAGAAGCAGGAACCTGGGTACCTGCACCAGTATACTCTGCGCACATTTTACCGGGTACTACTTGCCTTCAAGCAAATTGGAAAAGTAAACTCTCAAACGAACTTTTCCTGTCTACTCAACCTTATGCACCCTTCTACTTTATAACTTTAAATTGTATCATTGCTGTTGTTACTCTCAATATCATTCTCATTATTAGGATCATTATCTTTCAAACTATTATTATTATTATTATTATTATTATTATTGCTATCATAATCATCGACATCATTGTTATTATTACTGTACTTCTTTCTGCCCACTATGAGGGAACAAAGCAATGCAGTCTTAAGAGTGTTATGTTTTGCTGTTAGTTTGTGGAAGACGTTATAAGAATGGCCCTGGCCTAAAGTACCACTACACACACTATAACCATGAGCAGGAGACAAGCACTGTACACCATGAGGAGCCAGCCATATCTCACCCCTCAACTCCAGCACCCAGCGCCCCTGCTGAGTCACCAAAAGTACCTTCACCACAGCCAAGGGGACCAGGACGTCCCAAGAAGATACCAGGCGCAGTTGTGTCACCAAACAACTACTGTGACTTTTGTTTGGGAGATGTGTACGAGAACAAGAAAACTGGACAGCCTGAGGAGCTGTTGTCTTGTGCTGACTGTGGAAGATCAGGTAGATGTCACTTTGTGGTGTCATGCATCTAGCTTTCAGTTTGTGGCTGCTGCCTGCCTTTGGGCAAGGTGTAGCCATTATATCATGGCGAAGTCAGCTTCCACACCACTAGCCTATGATGCCACTGAATAACTAAGAGTTTCATGTGAATTTCTATTAACTCTTTAAGTCCCAATAGTGACCAAGATCAATTTTCTCCTAACAATATCCATACATTATCAACAGATAAGTTAGGAGAATTAATAATAAATTAATGATCACCTAAGTAAAAATGCCTTGACCTTTTAACAAATTCTCTTAACTCATTCTTTAAGGAAATGTATAGAGATCAGTTTGGAGAATTTGTATGTAGATACTGGGGCTTAAAGGGTTAATAGACTCAAGCCATTTTTCCTTTCCTTATGGCCCTCACTTAGCAAGAATTGTTGTCAAATCATCAAATGACCATGGTGATATTATTCTTGCAGGTCACCCTACATGTCTTCAGTTTACTGGCAAGTTAACAGAAAGTGTCAAAAAATATAAATGGCAGTGCATTGAGTGCAAGTCCTGTACTCTCTGTGGAACTTCAGACAATGATGTAAGTCTCTGCAGTCATCTTATCTTGATTATATATGATACCCAGGTTTTCTTTACCCAAACTCTTTGATTTTTATACCCTATCCCAGACTAAATGGCTTGATACCATACCCTACATAGAAGCTCATACCTATATGGCCCACATACAGCAGATGGCAGTATCCCTGCGTTCCACTCTTGGGACACCAAGAGTTAGTCCCAGTGTCTTTCTTTACCCCTTTTAGTCGACTCGCTATAAGAAGGACTTGTAATTTTGGTCCCAAAAATGTTCATCTTACACTGTAGGAGGAGTTGAGTGTATGCCAATTACCACTCTTGCTGATAGATGTTGTGTTCTTTTGCCTTAGGACCAGTTGCTGTTTTGTGATGACTGTGACAGAGGGTATCACATGTATTGCCTGAAGCCACCCATGGTAAAACCACCAGAAGGTAGAGACTGGTTCTTAACCTCTTTTAAAAGCCCTAAGAGTTATCAAATCAAATATCTCCTTTTAATATCAAAGTTCTTTAAAACAAGGTGGTCACGATAATTTAGGACCGGATCAGGGAAGAGGAATTTGCTACAATAACCGGCTAGTGACTATCCCCACTATGTGTCAATCCTTCCCCTACCCATAATTTTTTGCAACTATAATAATCGGATAAAGTGAAGGACAAGAAATGGTCATTTTTTAAAAAATATTTTTAGTACACATACCCTTGAAATTCACAAATGCACGTGTTTCAGTGTCAGTTTTTCGGCTTTTTAACCATATCACCGTCGATTTTTGATATTGCAGCCCTTTTGTTACTTCATCATGTAATTCGAATTTGGTCACTATGTCTGTAGGTAGTTTAAACAAGGCAACAAAGTAGAATTTAAATTTTGATCTTAGGTTTTAAAGGGTTAACTTGGTAACATATTTTTACTAGTTGCATTTAAATGTTTGTTGCACCCTTGTCTGATCTCTTGAGAACACTTGGACAGGACTTGTCAGAATGTACATGTCTCTGTTCATTGATAAGAACAAATTACTTATTTTTTAATTCCCTTTTATTCTAAACAGTTTCTTCTCTTCTCTTCAAGGTCATTGGATTTGCAAACTTTGTGAAAATTCTGTATTGGTGACCCCTTCTTATCCACCACAAGCAATGCTGCCCACAAGGATGGAAGACTTTCATGGGGGAATTTAGAATTACTCATAAGTTTTTCCTACCATTTTAAAAGAATGGTCAAAAGGCTCTCTTGTTCCCTAAGGCACTGCTATTTTGATGGCTTGTAAAAAAAAGAACAAACCCCCCTGAGGGACCTTTATTCTGAATCCATATACAGCAATGTATTAAGTCAAACCCCCATTAACCCTTCAAGCCCCAGTATCCTCATACAAATTCTCCAAACTGATCTCCATACATTTCCTTTAAGAATTAGTTGAGAGAATTAATTTTAATAAAACATCAAGGCATTTTCTCTTTCATGATCATTTTTTACATTCTCACAACCTTATCTCTTGACAATGTATGGACATTGTTAGGAGAAAATTGCTGTTGGTCACTATTGGGACTTGAAGGGTTAATATGGACTCTAATGGGGCCATAGAAAGTGTCCGTGTTAAGTGTTCATGTTATTAAAGCTAAAAAACACCTTTAATATTATTAGAACAAAAAAAACTAATCATCAAAAATCGCTCATCCATACATTACTTTATCAACACTGTACAGTCTCTGCATAACTCATTTGATGCCAAAATAGTTTGAAATTGATGTTTACAAATCATCCTATGCAGTGTACTGTAGCACTTAGAACATTGACAAAAGGAAAGGTCTGTTACAGCAAGTAGCACATAATGAAGTGTATACATTAGTGAGGTTGACTTTCGATGAGAATCTGTTGATTGGGCAAGAAACAAGTGCCCGTTGTCCACATCAATGGGTGTCTGTATTAAGCAGGTTGACTTAACCCTTTGAGTCCCAATAGTGACCAACATCAATTTTCTCCTAACAATGTCCATATGTTGCCAAGAGAAATGGTTATGAGAGTTAATAAAATGGTCACTTACGAGAAAATGCTTTGATCTGTTATCAAACTCTCTCAACTAATTCTCTAAGGAAGTGTACGGAGATCAGTTTGGAGAATTTATAACTGGATAACGGGGCTTGAAGGGTTAAGAGAAAATGTATGGGCTTTTCTCAGGGACAAATAAAATTGTCTGTAACAATGAGGTGTCTGTATTAAGCGGGCATACCTAGTTAAAGCAGTCTGTCAAAAAAACCATATCACTTGTCACACTACCATGGACAGTGTCAGTTTATTTTGGGCTAGCCAACAAACAACAGCATAATTTTATTATTTGCATACAAGTAGTGCTTACAGTGGACTTTGAACAATACCTGTCACCTTAAAGTGCATCATCTTTCCTAACCTGCAAACAAACTCTCCATTCAGGCAATATTGTGAGAGTTTGCAAGTGGCACATAAGAGGATATACGAGTGTGATGAAAGGGGGAAAGTAGGGGAGAGTCTTCCATTCCTCCCTCATTCACCTCTTTTTCTGCACTTTTTGTTTCTTTTTTTGACACTGCATTCCTTGTGTGTTCTCTTTTCCTCCACCCCTAATGGCTTCACCACTCGCTTGTGCGTTCTCACATGTTTCACTTACTTTGCCACTCGAAATGGAGACTTTGCCTGTAGGCTACATAAAAGTTAACATTAAATTAAATTCTAGATTTAACTTAATAAATGATACTTAGATAATAGAAGCAACATTGAGTCATTTTTCTACATCTTTTATTTAAGCACCTGTAAGACTTGTTCTGACATTTCACAGGGTAGGCCCTGGGTCAAAATTAAATAAATGTTAATTACCTCACGCGAGCTGAGCTATTGTTTTAATGAGCAAGAAAAATAGATTTTGCCCATTAGCATTAGGTTCAGCTTTTGAAGTTTGACATTTGACGTGGGCCTGAAGAAAAAGAAGTTAAAACATTTGTTTAAGCAATCACCACCAGCGACTTAAAGCAAAAAACCACGTTATCATCTTGATCATGCAACTCCCATTGTACAAGAACTTTAACCTGGCAGAAAAAAGCAAATGAAAAGAATTTGATATAAGGAATGGTTTACATCTCATGTTGTTTTATATTGTTAATCTATTATTTTTCCATTTTCCATTTTCTGCTCATCCCTTCCAAAATGACAGTTGTTGCAAGCAATAGACCTTTTTACCGATACAGTGGCCATATTGAGTTAATTCGATTTAACCCCCAATATCCACATACAAATTCTCCAAACTGGTCTTTATACATTTCCTTAAGGAATAAGTTGAGAGAATTT